CATGATTGATAAATTTACAAACACTCGAAATACTGTAACTGCGTATTAGCACCCAGTACTCTCTCTGCGATGGCTATCCACAACCAAGCGCGGCCAGGAGACGCTGAAGGAAGGTGACGCGATTTGTGATACGTGTCTGTGCTCTCTCCATGCTTTTCGTCATGTTGAACAGTTCAGCTGAACCAGTCGTACACTGCATTCGCCCTTGCCCCACAGACCTCGGCGAGCTCTGTAACAAAGGACACGATCTGATTGCAGAGCTTGGACCTCGCAGCTTGCAGCTCGTTCGCGATAAAATTCGAATCTTGCTGGGCTCCAGGCTTGGTGAAAAGATCCAGGTCCTGCTGCCTGACGTGGCGGTACATGGGCTTGCACATGCGTATGTCTGTGTGGGAGCCGAGGTTGCGGCGAATTTATGCATTTTTTGGGGACCGCCTTTAGGTCAGGCTCAGTGGTGGCCTGCCGAAGCACGCGGTTTTGCTTGCGAAGCAATCCGCGGCGGGATGCTGCAACGTGTTGCTTTCTTGAGCTGTCGGCCTGGGCACGAGTTTCTGCCTGCATGACGGGGCAGGGAAGCATCGGCCGTAAATTTCTGCTTTCTTGCACCGGCTTTTGCCTGGGCTGCCACCGGAGACTCTGTCAAGGCTACATACGCCTGGCAGGATCGCAACATGCGTGCTGCCGATCCCACCGTTCGAAGGGATGCGCTGTTGGTTGGAGCTGACCTTGCTGGGAACAGCGCTGGGCGGCGGCATTTCTGCTTGAATGCCCGCCATGGCTTGGAAGGCCCTCAAGGGAATTACAGGCTCCACCCTCGCGAGATGCAATCTGGAATAGAGTTCAATCTAATGAACCAATGTGGTCCGCATTTCTTCCGGCATGCAGTCGCACATGGTGCAGAAGTCCAGCTCTGGTAATTGCAAAACGGAATGTCTGCTGACAAGAGACGGCTCCGGTTCATTCCGGTTCAAGATGCACATATCGACCGCGGCGAAAGCTACAGCGACAACGAAAACAGCGGGCCTGCACCAGAGACATAAGCACCTGCGTCCAGCTTTGGGGCTTGGGGTCCCTACATGCCCTAGACCTGAAGCCGATTTGTCTCAGCTTCTGCAGCTGGGACCCAGACGCGATTGTGCTGCAGGTTGAAAGGCTCGAAGTAGTACTTCAGAAGCTTTCGCAATTCGATCGCATCCTTCTTTGGAGCCGGTTGGGCCACACAGAAAATCGTGTTTACCACCTCAAGATATGCTACTTCTGCTTTGACTACCGGCTACATACATCGGCCTTCTGCGATGGGAACCCGCCAAACCTGCGCCATTGGCGCTTCTGCTGAATCTCCTGGTCGGTCAGACGAAACGAAACGATCGAAATTCCGTTTCTGACAGTGAAATTCATGTGGTCTAATGATCTAATGTCCACCAAGCTCCATAAAGGTCCGCAGACTCGCGTACTATGATCGTGCAAGCAGATGGTTGAAACAAACTGGGAGTCGTGTCATGCAGTCCGCGGCGATGTCCAGAGTGTGCAAAAGTACGGGCGGTGATGCCATGGGGTGTCGCACCAAACAGGGAAAGAAACAGTAGCATAGCATGCTCCTGATCATCTGCAACTTCCATTTGCCGGCCTGAGACCAAGCGCTCAATCGGTTGTTTGTGGCCGGGAGAGCACATTAAAAAGGTCGGGACCATCTCCTTTGGCCCGGCAGCTCATGCGAGGGGTGTCCAACTCCTGGCTGGTGGATTGCAGGTGGCGCGTGCGCCCTGGAAACAATCTCGAAAGCATTGAACCATGCCCAGCTGACCAGTGTCTCTGATTCGATCAGTGCATCCCGCAAAGCATCTAGCGAATCCTGCAACCACGAGAAAGATTTTCCATGAGTCCTTGCTGGGCACACTTCTTCTGGACCAGTGAGATTGCGTTGTTCGCCGGTCGGCCTTGCTCGACTTGAGGCATGCGCGGTTGAGCCTCAGACGATGCAGTGCATCTCGTTCCGGTAAAAAGGCACGGAAAAATTTAAAAACGTCACGTGGAACGACTTGGCCACCTAACAGTCGGCGAATCGTCGGCTCCTCTGCGAGCACAAGCAACGGGACCTGGCCACAGAAAGCATGTGCTCTGCTTGCCACGTTCAGCGTCTTCTGCAACCACTTCACTGTTGGAGGCTATGGGCCTGACCTCGCCCTCCTTCTGCATGATGCGAGCTTCCTGACAGGACTTCCGTTTTGCTACGATTTACCAGGTGCCAAACGTAATGATTCGCAGCCTTGCCCGTACTCGCGAGGACTTCTTCCACGGGCTGAAGCCTCGACGAGAGTCTGGAGGAATACAACTGCGGGAGTGCAGCAATGTCTTTTTCGTAGTTTGCAGCTATCTTACTAACGCCTAAACTTCCAAGTCCGTTGCAGCATGTCAGCATGGGAGCGCCACGAAATCGTGTCTGATGTTCCAACCTGAGCTGCCGGCGATGTTCCAAACGACGGGGCCATTCACTGCATGTGTTTGCGCGTGTGTTGAGGAACATAAGTGTGAATAGAAACAGAAACAAATACATCAAGAAATGAGCACATGAACAAACCAATAGATAATCAAACACGTGCAGGTATGTTTATCTGTATATGTATATGTATACACACATATATATATATATATATGTAACAATATGTATATTATGTATATTTTCTGTGTACATATGTATATATATATATATATATGGTATACAGTCACGTTTGATGGCCTACCTGCGCTCTGTGCATACATACATCATCTACACAGACATGCCAGCCAACCACGCAGACAGGGATAGTTTTATAGACACAAACATGCATATTGTCAGATGCGAGTGCTGCCTGTGTATTCTAGAACTTGAGTGCTGCTCGGCCACTGTGAGCAGTTCCGCATTTTCTAATGCCGATCGCAAGATGCCAGCCTGGGCGACGGCCGATGACAGACTCCACAGACTGTGACTCGGCCCAACTAGGCTGGCAAGGGCCGCATTAGGCTCCGAGGCACTCGCTCGCTCAATCGGATCCTTGGACCCGTTTCGCGGAAGGTGTAACCTGAGCGGCTCAAGACATCTCAAGCCGCCAGTTGCTTGCTAATGTCCAAGTCGCTGGCTGAACCTGACGAGACATGAGCGCATCTGTAAGACTCAATGTTGATGATGACTTCCATGACCTTTGATCTTCGAGCTCGGCCATCAGGGCCTCGCATGCGGCCACCAGAGCCTCATCTTCAGTCCGAAGTCGGACTGTGCAACGCAGTAGATCCACAACAATCGGAGTCAGCTCCCCAATACTCGCGAGGTTTCTTGCCAACTCGCTCGCAGAGTGGCACTTATACCAAAGCCTGGGATGTTGCTGTAGCACATCCTCAAGCGGCACCTCGCCATCCTCCCCTACCTGCTTCAAGAATTTTGCCAGTTGGGCAGCCATGGTTCTTCTGCGCTGCCACCAGTACTTCTCATCCAAGTCCTCCGGATCCTGTGTGCATGGCATTTCTAAGCGGTCGGTGTTGGGCGTTTCAGACGTGTCAGAGACGCACAGCATCATGGGTGTGAGCCCCCAGGGTGTGCACACCATAGGAACCTGAAGAACAGTCGGGGCGTGATAGTAAATCTGTTCCCAGGTCGGATCATAGTGATGTTGAGGGCTCTGGTCACTAGGGGTGCCAATTCCCTCAGCCTCCACACCTGTCTCTGCGCTAGCCTTGGCATCTTCATCATCCAACAAACCAGAAAACCATTGCTGGTCCCAAGCAGATCCCTGAGCTTGGTCCAATGACTCGATCCGGTCAGGAGTGACTTTGACCACCCTCGCCCCCTCGACGGCAATCTTGCTGGAGTTTCTAGCTGCATTGGCAACAGTCGCCAGCCGCTCTCTGGCATCCGAGATGCCTCTGAGCTGTCGTGCCACAAGTGGTTGGTCTGCTAGGTCAAGCAAACTCACATCATCTCGCAAAGCCAGCTCAGAACCAACCATGTCCTCCAAGACAATGCGTATTTGCTCCATATGACTTCGAATACCAACCTGCAAATCTGAAAAAAACAACCGAACAACATGCGCTAAATCCCGGTGCAAGAGAGCCATCTTTACAATAGCAGTCTAATTCCCTCTATTCGACGTGATCCGACGCGCGTCTTCTCCTCTGCGTGTGCGTCTCTTACTCAAAGTGTGTCGGAAGATTTCCAGAAGAGGCCATACCTACGTTTTACATCATTTTACGAGCCTTGCTGCTTTCAAACAACTTTCCAGGCGAGGCGCTTCATCGGCCTCGCAGTAAAGGCGTGTCTGCAGGCCGTGGTGTTCAATGAGATTCGAGATGTCCGTTGCAACAAGTTGGGAACGCTGCCCATCCGTCATCGGTGCATGATGCAAAACATAGTCCAGAGATAATCTGCCACATGCTGGCTCGAAGATGCTGTCGGGAAGCGCCAGCATCCACGCTTCAATCTCTTCCACAAGCTGAAACATGTTGCCCAAAGGATGTGTCTCCCCTGTGAGAGAAGACCCGGGAGTGAACATCGCAAAATACCACGACAATGCCAGCTGTCGAGACCTGCACCGCAGTGTCTTGCAAACTGTTGGCGAATGCCGGATACCACTTGAGCGACACATGGACGGCGAACGCAAAAGATCAAACAGTCTGTGAAATGCTATGCGTGAATTCTTTCAGTAACTCGCCTGGCCCGCATCAGAACAGACTCTGGCTATCACCTCTGACTGCCCTGGTCGCGGGAGGCCTCACACCCGAATGGTGCACCGCGCGCGTTTTACTTCCCTATATGCTGAAAACTAATGAAACATATGCTTGCCGGCTGTGTGCAGCCAGGAAATTGACCGATTTCAAAAGGGCACCTTCACAGAACCAGCTTTCTAGGAGCAAAGGAGGTCAATACAAGTAATCGTTGCTGCTTGTTCTGCTTTGTTCCGCAACAGGACATACACACTACAAGGGTCCCTGCTCACATCCAGCTGGTCTATGCTAGCTACAGACATCACTCACAGCTCACCCGCATCAGAGATTGCCACTTGCGTTCTTGTCCTGGACAGGAAAGCTGATAAACCCTGAGCCAGGTGCCGACAGCCCAAGCGCAGAATTCCAGAGCCGGCCTGCCCGACTGAGATCCGACGGACTCCATCTGCTGGATAACATCATATCCTACCAAATGCGACTCGGCTCTGCAGCTCAGAGAAGTCTGTCTTCTCTTCTTTGCTCCTCTCTCACACCCTCGAGCACGGCTGCAGTAGTGCAAGGTCCTTCCAACACTTCGCCGAATACGACATGCTTGCCGTTCAGCCAGTCAGTAGGAGCCGTTGTGATGAAGAACCTCTCAAGATCACGCAGTATTTTGGGTGGCAACTTCTCGGAGCAGCTTGTTTAGCTCATGGTGCTCCAAGCTTGTAGCAATAACCTTTCATGATTAGTGTTCACTTTTTGAGCTTACGATCCGCCGCACTTGTGGCCCCGGGCTCACTTGGGTCTTGTTAAACTTAGGAGTTCCTTCTGGGCGGCGTTTACAATGGTTGGCAGTGTAGCTTGTCGAGTTCAGAAGTTGGGTTGACGGTTCACGCGTCGCTTCAGGCCTTGGGGTTCAGGGATGAGGCTGTGCGGCTCCCAGCAGGGTTTGGGGTTTGCGGTGTCGGGCTTCATGATTGCAGGCTGGGTTTAGGGCCTAGCCCGGTGCTACAGTAGTTGCAGTATCACCACCACGACACGGTGAACGTCGGCTCTCTTGACAATGGGAAGACTGATGGCTGAACTGTCCTTCAAATCAGAGGAGCGATACTCTCCATGGCATTGCCAAGCCACCCCCCCCCCCCCACCCGCAATGCGTCCACGTCCGGGATCCGGGCTGCGATCCGTTGGTGTTGGGCCCAGCATTAGCCATGCTGAGCAGTCCCGGCCTGGGCGAGTTTGCAGGAACCCTATTGCACGCCAGCAACCCGTTGTCAACTCATCATCGTTTAACTTAGATCACCCATCCTGGGATGATTTGATTTACAATGACTCCCAGCAAGTAGCGACAATTCTGCATGCAGTTCTATTGTCTGTAATTCTACGAGGGGGACGACATCCAACAGGCACGTCTTGACTCGTGATGTATGCATGCAGCAGGACTAGTGATCACTTGGGCGCCCGGCTTGGTGTGGTTCAGCCTGAGGACAGGCAGCCAAACAACGATGGCTCGACTCTGCACAGTTGGCTGTGTCGGAACTCTTGTCTGAGCAACAGGCTCGAAGTTCTCGTCTTCAAACTTATTGCCTGTATTCAGATGGCCGTGTGTGAAGGAAAAGTAACATACCCGAGTGTTGCTGAGGCTGTGCCTCACACCGCTTTGACAAAATCCAGTACTATTGTACTGCCGAACATGGCAAACCCAAGGTCCGCACCATAGATGCTTCGGCCACCAGTGCCATTGAAGTTGGTGAAGTCACCACCCTCTTCTTGGCAAGTTTTGCTCAAAAGGGAGTACGATGTCACAGCAGGGCCTGGCACATAAAGCCGGGGATGATGCGGTGGAAGGGGCAACCTGATGCCAGGCTGCGTATGGCATGCAGTGTGTGTGTGTGTGTGCTGCATTTGCATAGTTCTTTCGGTGCAGAAACCTGTTGTCCGTGCCCGCAGACATGGCAAAGTACTACAACAAATACTACAAATAATCTTGCTCAGACGCGTGACGTGCTGCGACAAACTCCAAGCAAGACCGTTCTCGAATAGAACGACTGGCCTTTGAATCCTTCGCCAGGCGGATTCTCGCAAAGCTTGCGGAAGTTCTCCACGGTTTTTGGAACAATACCTCCTGGCAGCTTCGTGGGACGCCCCATGGTTCTGATCGGAGGTTTTCATGCCCAGGCACCGTAGAGCCCGAAGACCACGCGTCCAGCGGGCTGATTGCCAATGGTGATGTCGAAGTAGACCTGGCAACAGCAAGAGTGGGTTACCTTTTCCCGACCTTGTGTGCTCTCCTTATAGAACGATCTGTAGCCAGTCTTCGACAGCGAGGACCGAACGTGTAGAAACACACGGCATCTTCCGATGCTTATGCTGCGCCGGTGGGGGGGAGGACCTTGGTAGTCACATCATCCGGCGACGGATCTCGACCTCCACCGAAAAACAAATTGCGCGCCATTGAGCTGGTGCGTCGTGATCGCAGCCTCATTGCGCAATGCCCACAGGAACATTTACAGGTAGCACCGTGCGGCTCTTTTGTGCCTTATGGACCCGGGCTTCTGACGCAGCGCTGACGAGGCATGCTCCGACCTCGGAAAAGCAAAACTCGTTGCATGTGTTGCTGGCCTCCTCGCAGGGTTTTGAAGCCTTGCCCTGAGATTCAAACCGTGGCTGCGGCAACAGCTGGCAAACCGGAGCTGGATATGGACTGCCTACAAAGCGACCGAACTTGATGGCGCATCAGATATACGGATGTCACTGAGGATCTGTGCATGAATCCCTTCGCTTTTGGCCACCCCAGCACCGCCACTACTGTACCCGATCGAGCAATATTTCGCAACAACCAAGACTGACGAGAGCTAAAAATGAGAAAGGCCGGACAACCTGCGAATTCTTTGGGACAATGAACTCGTTGAGATGCTCGCTTGGAATTTACTTTGACTTCCCGACCTCTCTGGGGCAGCCGGTCGAAAGCTGCGTGTGCCAGTGACCTTGGCTCTCGGTAGGCTTTTCTGCAACATGAAAGCTGAATCGGTTACTGTAAAGCTGTTGGTGTTTTGGAGTTTAGGGCTCCAATTTGAGAAGGAGCACGGTGGCATGCTCCGCCGGCGCGACTTGCACGAAAGCAAAATGACCCAGCCAAACGCAAGCGCCTCAGAGCCCAGGGCGCGTGCAAGGCTGCAGGATGGTCTACAGAGCTGCAAGCTGTTGTACCACAACCCATCCGAGCACAAAGCCCAGTGCAACCAAAGCAACCGTCCTGCATGTCTGCCAGCATCTCAGAACATTTCTCACGACTCGAAATCGTTGTGCCAGGCTCCTGCTGGACATGTTTGTCATGTCTCGCAGTGGGCGAAAATCTACGGCTCTGAAAACCAAAACTGCCACGGTAACACGTAGCAAACATGAACTTGGCGCTTCGCTGTCGATGTCGAGAGACTCTGCGTGATTTCGGCTTTCTAAGGTCCACTTCTCATAACAATGGTTTCTTCCCCGATCGCAACAACTTGCTCACAAGCTTCGGTAATTAAATCTAGGGCTGAGAGCCCTTCCAGGATCGGCAGCACAGTGGCAACGCCGCTGTGCGTGATCAAAACTGTGCAGGGTCTCTACAATTTTGGCCACGCCATGCCGCACCCACCTGTGGTTCACGACTACATACCTAGCAAAAAAGATCTGTGAGCACCCGCATCTGACAAGACAAAGTTTCGTAAACCCTGTTGAAGGAGTAGGTTTGAAGGTAGAGCTTGCGTGGCCTCTAATTCGCAGTGGCACAGCACTTTGCAAGCTGCCGTGCAACCGAAAGCCCACGCGCCGGGACCTGCAGCCAACAGCCCTGAGAACTGCAGCAGTCGCCCATTGGCCGTCGACTCTTAGCTCACTGCCCTTCATGGGAATCAGGTCTTGCGCACAACCTGCTCAAGCATGTTCGTCTTCTGTCAATTAAACCATGATTCAAAGCACCATCCCGTTTGCTTCTTCATCGCAACTCGCACCCTCTGATTTGGCGGCCCCCAGGCAAGGGGTGCAATGTCCGTGTTTGCCGAGGTCATCTTCAGCTCCTTCTAGCAGCGGCCAAGTCTGTTGCGGACGTTTCTTGTGATGCAGGCTCTGATTACCACTTTCCTCGAAGTCACTGTCATCGCTGACTATGATGGCCTTCACGGGCATGCCATCACGGAGGCACGCTGCGAAGGTGAGGCATCGTTGGTGAAGGCTCTCCTCGGGGAGCTCGACCTTCACATCACTGCTTCCTGTCCGGCCATCGGTACCTCGAGGCATGCTTGGTCAAGGCCCACGGCAGTCGCGACAAAGGGGTCTTCGATTGGGCGGAGCGCGATCAGAGTTCTCGCTTGATTCCTTTCTCTTCCTGGCCGAACTGATCAGACGAAGCCTCTGCAGGTCCAAAACCAATGGAAGACCCAAGGCTCCAGTCCTCGCGTTGGAAGACGGTTGGTCTGGCTCCTGATGGTGCTTGCATTGAAGTGGTTGCGTCAACAGCGCTGCTTCCACGAAAGCTCCAGGTTTTGCCTGCGAAGATCGCTTCCGGTACAGGGTCTCTTTGTCTTGGACCTTTGCTGCAGGTTTATAGCACCAGAGCCATGCTGCTGGCTGCTATAGCGACTGCCAGCGTTTATGAGGCCAAAGGCCCAACGAAGCAGCTCCCCGATAGCCTGCCAATTTAGCGCACATCTTTGGACCTGCATCTTCCTAGCTCTGATGGCATGCAATCTTAAGGCTTGCTATCAAACCATGTGGCAAACAGGATTCGGCACATCTAGCCGCGACCGTGTGAACAGGAGCGTTCTCGCTGAACTGTTCTGTCCAAGGGAGGTTTGGCAGGCGATGTAGTCCCACCTTCTGTCTGTCGTTGCGCATGCTCGCGAAAGCAGCCGGTTGGACCTCGCCAGCATGACACAAGCCGAGCGACGCAGAGCTTCAGCTGCCCACTGAGATGCTAGCTAGATCCTCCAGCTTGGTAATGCCCGTGCTCTTTCCTGCGTGTGAAGAAATGAGATGTGGTGCAAACCGACGGATTTCAAGCCATCATCATCCCGGAACTGCCGATGTCCTGCAGCACGATGTCCAGCACGCTGGTGTAAACAGCCTCCCTCACGACGCAATGGGGTAAGGCAAACTCCACACAATGGCCAATGGCAAAGCCCCAGGCCATTTTGGCGTGCACGGCTCGAAAGCCATAGCACTGACCTGAAGCAAAGAAACATTCCAGGACGTACGTCTCGGAACTGCACGAGGTAATGCGTACGCGAAGACTCTCAATCTGTTTTCTCGGGCGCTGGCATTTCAGGGTTCGACCCCCCCTGCTCAGGACGTCGTGATTGAGACAGATGTCCTCCGTCGGCAGTCGGTGCAAACAGTCCAGGATGCCCCTTCTCACCGGCTTAGTACTACTTCAGCTTCTCCATGTATGCCATTCACAATGTCACAAGACTTCCGCTTCTTTGCCGAAGGCTGCCACTGTGAATACGAGTCCGCGTCCTCGTACATCTGTAGACTCGGCACGTACTCGACTTGCAACCGCCGAAGCTCGTTCAAGTCCAGGAGCACCACCTTGCAACGATGCTGCCATCTAACTCATTTTATCAATGGCATAGTATAATTATATAATAATATAGTAATCTGGTTTGTTAGTTTCAATATGTTTCAATGAACAGCCCCGGCCTTGTAGAGAGCGAGCTCGTCCAGCTTCCACTCCGCACCTCTGCTCTCTGCCAGGGCTCACTGCCAGGGTGTGCCGCGCTGAGCGTCTGGCGCTTGCAGACAGCGGTGCCGTCGTCTCGTAAGAAGCCGGCCACCGCGGCCCTGAGAACTGAGATCCCAGGCTCTGCCGCCCCGGACCAGAAGACCCTCCAAAAGCAACGCTTTCTCCCGACCTGCCAAGAAACGGATGGCGCTGGACAGCCAAAAGTGCCTGCCACGATGAAAAGCATTTCGTGCTTTGACTGGTGTGCTCAAATCTACTGCCTCCACGAACATCAGCTCGCTGCTTGCAACTCTGTGCTTCATCCGCTTAGGCCTGTGATACGCGACTGTGTAGCTCGCGTGCTGTCCAATGTACATTGTACATGTCTTTAGCTTCGCTTCCCAAACATGGCCTTGCGAATCTGCCGCACTGGCGGAAGTTGTCCATCCAGGCCAACCTGCTCACGCAGGAGGTGAATGAAAGCGCCAAGAGCAGAAGCAGGAACGCAAAGCAAGGCACATCAGTAGCCTGTAGAACGTGGTCAAAGTGTCGTCCACGATCCAGATCCTGGTGCCGAAGCCAAGCAATGCCAAGCTGTATGGAGCCACTCTTCACCAATCACATGTCAAATGCTTATGTCGTACTTCTTGTGTATGAGTGGTATGAGTGTAAATGCTGCAGGCACAACACTTCGGCTTCCTGCCCAAACGGCGCAGCACCGTTGCCGTCTGACAGGGTCCAGAGCATCCTGAGCTGTGTTTCTTGCAAGCCACTGCAGTCGGAAAACATTGCAGACCTCCAGTGACGGTTGCCCGAGTACATACCATCTGGACAACCTCATCGGCGCTGAGCAAGACATCGGATACAGGGGTCGGTCGGGGGTCACGAGCTCCACACCCACCGAGCGTAGCCTGGTCCGCGACTGCCTTGGTTGCATCTGCTTCTGCTTTCAGGGAGTGCGCAAATGCTCCGTACACTGAGGACCAAGCCTTCGGGAAGGACGAGCATCAAAGCAAGTGGCCAGGTCCCCCGATAGGCCTCCTGGAAGCTACTTGTGGCAGGGCCGATGAAAAGCCGCACATAAGTACAGTGCGGATGTTGCCCTACCTGGAACACCTAGCTTGGTAGCCTCTTCAGTACTTAGTTCGCTCGCCTGCCGATTATGTAAATTCTGGAGCCCAATCCGGACAATCTGCGAGGCACGCGATCCGACAAAAAGTCTGGGCCAAGCGATGCCAAGCAACCTCCTCTTCGGGCTCGACCACGATACAAACGACGGGCGCCAAGCCTGGTTCCTTCTCCTACGCAGAAACGCATTCTTCCATCGCTCGTACTAGTTAGACAAAAGCTGCACGGCCTGGCCTGGGGGCCGAAAACATGCGGAGCTTCCCAATTGAGATGTGCCTTCCCCACAGCATTGGACCATACATAAAGATGCTTGGCTCGTTGCACCCTCCGGTGGGAATGGGATGTCGTAGCTGTCGTAGCCACTCTGACAGCTGTGGGCTGGCCTTCTCTGGTCGACCGCGTGAGGGAATGAAGACAGGATGCGGCACCTGCAATGCCTCCAAAGCGGGCAAACATGTCACATGTCTCGGCAAATGTAATGTGAAAACATAGATGCATATCTTTCCGTGCAATAAGTATGTATGTACAGCATCTGGGCCTGCTTGTCTAGCTTCTGACCCCTCTGCTGCAGGAGGCTCTCGTACCGCTGGCATGCAGCCTGTACGGTGTGTCCGCAGACACAGCAAATCTCCCTCCACAAGAAACAATGTTGCGATGCACGCAAGCTCCTGAGTAGGCACGAGCAAACACCTTGTTAGTGACTCAGTGGTGGTTCTCTGATATGGGGCGTTTGTGCAAGAAGCTTCGGGTGCAACAGCCGTCGCTGCAGAGCTGCGGCCTCCCAGTTCTGTATCAGCTCATCTGGGCCTTGCAATCCATTGAGCTCACAAGCTCTGATGATCTACCTCCCAGTTCTCAGTTCTGCTTCTTTCTGCACTTTGTGGGGCCAGAGCCGGACAGTTTCACCTCGAAGAGGACCTGCGGAGGATGCACCCACCGACCCTCTCCGGAGAGCCTTAATGCTAGGAACGAAGCCTTTTCGATGCAGGCCGCGGACAACTGTTCACAAGGCAGATAACCTAGCCGCTTCAGCTAGGAAATATACGGCCGTGGTGCGAGCCAAGTCTGAAGTTCGTGCATCATGCATGGCACCACAACAGCTACCAGGTCGAGATGCAAACACATATTCTTTAATGTGAGTGTCCTGGTCTAACTGCTCTGGAGCGCCGCACTTTCAGTAGCAGGCCTGCTAGTGGCCTGCTTAGTTGCTGCACACTTTGTGCGGCATCAAAGACGGTCGCCTGACTATCAGATTATCACGACACTCGAAAGGAGGCAATGACGAACGGTAGTTCAGAACTCACATTGGAAGTTCTCGTGTGAGCTACGCCCTGGCATCAAATCGCATACGAGTGTCCATGTCCTCAGCACTCACTCAAAAAGGCCGTTCGGACAAATGACACGCTTCTGCTTGTTCAGGCTGCGAAGCAGTCGGATCCTACTAAAACTGCAACCCATGCCCTACACCAGGCAGCATGTGACCTCGATTACGGCTGGTCTCCCTGTCTAATTTTGTCTAACCCTCAGCTTCTACGACGTCGACGCTTCCAAGATCAAGTCGCAAGGCTGCGCTCGTAGGAAAAGTGCTCGGAGAAGGCCATAAATCGTGACTGTCCCAGTACGCCGTCCAAGTGCAAAAGCATGTCTCCCATCTCTGATCGAGTCACTTGTAAGACTGTAGGGTTTGGCGTGGCTGCCGAGGTTTATAGTTTTGTTGACTTGCTCTTATTGTCGTGACACCGACGGTGGCCACCAGGACAATAACCAACATCGCCACCGTCATTGTCACGATCGTCATGGCCTTTCAGCATGTTGACCCTGGTCATCAGGATCACGATGCTAATCATGCCCATCAGCACCAAATGCACCGATAATGAGTACAGCAGTGGTAACATCACCATCATCATCACAGATCACTTCGACATCGTGTGTTCCTCTGCAGCTTTGCGCGCTAGAGTTGTAGTTATGATTAGTATACTGATGCACAACGCTAGGTGAGCCTTGCATAAAGACATGTGATATTGTAGCAGGTTGTAGCAGCTGCCGTCGGTCGTGGCGCTGGCACCGCACCAGCGTGATTTTCTGCTGCTTTGCTGGCGACGGTTGTTACTGCTAATGCCGTCGTCGTCTACACTCGGAGAGTGCCGAGATCTGGCCGCGAGAGGGACTTGCGGCTGACAATCCTGAGCCACGTGCATCCATGTTGGAGATGACTATCCGTATGCCCTCGACCACGCTGACCTTAGACTGAACGGGGTCTGGGTCTGAGTCCCGCTCGCCAACGGCAGAATGCAAACTCAGAGTGCCAAGTGTACAGAATAGTTGGAAACGATTGTTTGGGGGCATCACTTTCGACAGCACTGTCGCAGCGAAGTTTATTTTTGCAAGTGGGCTATTTGAAGTTGACTTTGAACTCTCAGCATCTCTGAGCTGCGTGCAATTGCAAGAACAATGGCGCAAATCGGTTCTGCCTGACCAGCGCTATGCTGTGCTTGCATGATTTCCGGCGAAACAAACGCTGCTGGGGTCAGTCCTTCCACATCCCTTCCTTCTCATAGCTGGCTGCCAAACCCATGACCTTGTGTGGGCTTGACAAGTCTGGATGTCTTAGCTCTTGCTGCAGTTGTCATGCCACGCTTTGCGGTGGGCTGCCGGGCTCTTCAAAGAGACTGAGGCAACGGCCAGAAGAAAGACCAGACTGATGACTGAGTTCACCAGTGCACTCCAAACCTTGGACTTTGATAACACACCAAAGAGCACCCTTCTTCAATATGTTGCTTTGAGTGTGGGCTATGTTGCCACACGCAAGCGCTTTTTCCCACTCGGTAGACGTGCAGCACGAATTGCTGAAGCCTCTTGCAATCGTCGAGTCTGTCACAAAACCCTCACACACCATCACCCACACCCACATCGAAGCGCACACAAACACACAAACGCAGACACGTATGCGTTTTTTCTCTGACCTCCCCCCCCTCCCAGCCTTTACCCCTTCCTGCCTTCCTTTTTGTCTGCGCGATGACCTCCCCCTTCTGTATCCACGCAATTCGAGCAAGTTGCCCTGAAGGGTTGCTTGCTGCACTTGGAGTCAGGCAATACCCCTTCGCAGCTTTCGCCCAAGAAAGAAGCGTGCGATTGCCTTCGAGCAAAGCGAAACATGGCTTCGCAGCATGGTAGGGGGCAATCGGCCTTGCTTGCCCTTGTTTCAGTTTCCAGCCTGAAGCAGGTAGAAGGTGAAGCCGTACCATGCCAGGAATTCTGTAGCCCATTGGGCCTGCAAGTGCAATGATCGGAGCCACGCGCATCTATCATAAGGTTTGGCTTTGGCTTGGTCCTGCCTCTGTATCCATGTCCCGGTGATCCAGGTACCACCTTCATGTTGCTATGATCTCGTCAAAATCTGAGACATGCCGGGGTCATGGTGCTGGGCGAGCGACTTGTCCCAGAACTTGATCTTCCGGGCCGCCTCGCATAGCAAGGCTATCATAAGACTAGCCTTTGTAGTTGAAGCCCTCTCGTCGCTGCACTCCGGCGAGCGCCGGAGCGGAAGCTTGTAGCCCGGCCAAGTTTGGCATCTCACTTTATTTTCGAGGGTCTTTATCCCCTGGGGTGCAACTGGTCCGTGTACCTTTCTGGGCTGGTTAGGATGGTGTTTGCAACTCGCTGGAATCGACGAGCGAGACCAGGGCCAATTTTAATCTTCTCTCTTTCCCAATCAGATAAAGGACGCAGCCACAGGCCTCGGACGATACAAACTATGTATACAACAGGCTGGACAAACGAGGCTGGAAGGCTGTCGCTGATAAAATTACAAGCAGTCACTTATCGCTAGGTTCCCTTTACATCATTTACTCACCCCGACACACGTCGAACTTGAAGAGCAAGACGTGGCCGACAAAGCCTGCCGATGATGATGATCCTGGTGACGAAGATGACTCTAATGCAAACGCATTGCTTGTTGCCCACGCCGAGGGCGCGGTGATGAGTACTCAAACCACATGACTGGCATTTTGATACCAGGGTAAAGACACTGCAAGCAGGTGCTGGTCGTGGTGGGTACTTGGTTCCTGAACCCTTTTGCCCACCCCTATCCAGAAGAAACCTTTCCCGACTTCTTTGTGCATGGCTGGTCCGCTCGCCTTGAAAACGAGGGCAGCTGCAGCAACCAACATTGCAAGGCCCATAACCTAAGCTTCAGACTTCGGCTCGGCATCATGTTAGGGCCCTCACACAACTATTCAGCACAGCAGCCACGTTAAGGCCCTGCTCCCGGTACAAGAAGCGTCGTCGCTTCTCCCTGAAGGCAAACTTCGTTGTGCACACTACAGAATCGCAGCCCGGCGTGATCCTCTGGCCTGAGCAAGGATTCCTCCGCGTCTTGTGGCCTGGGCAGAGGGCTAGCCCTCCTGGAAACATGTCTTGGCATGTCCCCGTGGGCCCGACACACCTAACTCTCCCACCAAGCGCACGATCAAAATGATGGAAGACAGCATGTGGGAGATGGCCTACAAAAAGCGCACGCACCAGCTTTCCTTGCTTGTTGTAACTTTTGGTGGCTTGATGTACTGCACACGATGACACCGAGGGCCTGCAAGCCCAGGCAGTACAGTGATGCCCCAACGGCTCGGTACGCAAACTTGAAGGCAACGCCCATCATGACGGCACTGCCTGCGTAAACTCTGGCTGCATGCGGAGCATAGTCTGTGCGATCTCACTGATTTGCTTACTATGCTACCGCACAGAGCTGCCTGTCGCACAAAGATGTACAAAGCACAGACTACATCACCTCCTAGGGTACTGGCTGATGACATCGAGTCCAGAGATGAGGACCAAAATGAAGCCTGCGGTAGGGCCCACGGATGCATGCATCAAAGCAATTCAAAGCAGAAGCAAGAGTTGAGAGCCCGACTTTGTCTGCGCTCTTGCAGCGATGAGGCCTGACAATGTTGCTGCAACACGTTGCCGGTGCATTGCCGCAGTCAGATGGCCTCCTGAAGAACGCGCGGGTACCCAGTGTCTTCGTCGATCTCACAAAGCATGCACAGTTGGCTGATACGACTTATGCCCGACTGCAGCGTGCAGCAGTTGCTGTAGCTTACCTGCGTGAAAATGCGGAAGGACATGCTAGGTGCCGGGCAATGCCCGAACATCTGCACATGTTGCAACAGAAACACCAGCAGTCGGCAGTTCAAAGGTCGCGACGGCACTTCCGTTGGGAACAGCTTGGTGGCGGTTCCGCAAGCCAGAGCCTCGCAGGTCTTCAGGAGTGGGCCAGCAGCCAGCACTTCATCTTCACATTGGCGTATCTCGGCGACTTAGGAAGGAACTGCCTTGACTGAACCCGAAGGTGTCGGGCGTCACCTCGTCTGCTTCGCAGGCGATTTGTACGACATGCACCATGCCTCTGTTGCCAACCTCCAGCTCGACCTCGCGCGCCGACATCCTGACGAGTCCGGGGAGGCAAAAGGAGTCGGGAGCCAATTCTGCCGGCCTGGATGGTCACAGCCGCATCCGCTCTTGCACAGCGTAGTGAGTAATTGTTGGTCTGTGCTTGCGCGCTAGAGCTCTAGCTCTACAGGCAGTCGCCATGCTTGGGTGTATTTTTGACATTGCTTGGCAAATCAAGTGTGCAAATTCTCTGGTGGATAATCTGTCAGATGCAGTTGGGGTTGGTCTAGCAAGAGTGATTGTGTCTATGTTTCTTGCCAGAAGCAGCCTTTGCTGGCAACTATCTAGAGCTTGCTAATTTGCTGCGGAAGTGCTTTTCAGTGACTCTGATACCGTTGTGCCACCAGAGAAGTGCAAAGCGGTGCAGTGGTTGCCAGCACCTTGTCGTTGTCATCCACAGCTGCCAGGCAGCGACCTGAAAGAACACTTGAAGATGTGCAGTATACATTCGTGGAGAAGAGCTGCTGCATACCTCTTCAATAGCTGAGGCGCGCAGCTTCGCAGCTCAACCCTTCCATCTTTGGGCAAGGGGGGCCTTGGCAAGCTCGGACTGAGAAGCAGAATAGCTCTCCCAAAGAACATGCACTACACTGATACAGCCCGCTCAGAAAACACTTAAATGAAACGGCCTCTAGGCCTCCATGTACTGCCACATGCTCTCAGCTTGCTGCGTCCGCATTGCACGGGCCAGCTGTGCTTCTGGGTAGTGACCTTCCGACCACTACTACATACTACTACAAGGATTCGAGCATATGTGCGGCCATGCTACATCCTGTCCCTGCCTCTAGTTTGAGAGTAAACGCCTGCTTGGATTTTGGATTTGTGAGTGCTGGAGGATCCCCAGCCCATCACCTCGGATGCAGCTTAGCTTCTGACTACCAGATCACTCTACACAGCTGCCCACTACCCGGAACATCTGGTGGCACGGACGCGTCTGTCGACATGGCAATATCTTGCACTGGGATGTAACCTCAGGAAACACAAACATGACCTACGCGCAGCAAGGGGAAGCCCCTGACGGCACACTGCCAAGCATTCCGCAGTCTCTCAGGACGAGGCTTGCGAAGTTTGGACCTCGCTCCCTGCTGCATCTTCTCGACCTTTGCTGAGGCTTTGGCCACCGTCCCTGGCCTCCGGCAGAAAAATCTCAGGATCAATAAAGAGACAGCTGCCATCGTGATTCTTTTCTCTGAAACGCCTTCATTCGCTCCTCGCTTGCCCTCTTTGGCGGCGGCATACCGCAGCTGAAGCAGTTTGAAACAGGGGCACATAAGATCAAGCCGTGCGCGAACGGAATATTCAGCGCAGGCGAATGGAAGCAGGTGTTATGCAGGTTCAACGTTCGAAGATTTGAAGGTTTGCAGTGTTAGGGCAGGCTATGGCCAAATTAAGCGGAACAGCAGTCTTACACATCAATGTCAGTGAGTCTGAGTTCGCCACGACGGCGAAGGCATGCTGCTAATTCATAGCGAATCCATCAATGTTGGAGGTGACAGTCCTGCAGAAACCTGCTGTCAGCAAGAATGAAGCATTCTTTGCACTGTCAGCGCAGGAATTGCGCGATCCGGACGGCCGAGGCCAGCCCTTTTTAATGATACCGACTTGGCACAATTGCCTTCATTTCAGGGGCATGCAGAAACCGTCAGCAACCTATATCATGCAATCCAGTAATATTGCTTGCCGAAGCAGCTTACGGAAAAAATTATGCCGCATGAAAACACAGGTGTGGGAGGTCGCACTTTTGGCGACGGCTGTCAGCACACCCATCAGATCAAACTTCATGGGTTCATGCACGGTCAGTGACGCCTCATCCCTTGTAGCCTCCTTGGCTGTGCTGGCAAGTGCACAGAGTAGTATTAAGGCCTCCGACACGTCATCCAGATATGCGCAGTGGTCCATCTACAGTAACAACTCTGGATGCGAGACAGGCACGATTGCAGCATCATCAGCGTTGCATCGAAGCTGCCCGGCGCGGGTCTGCCGTCGATTTTCAGGATCGTCCAGCCAACTTGCACCTGCAAGCACAGATTTTTCGGGAAATCAGTGACGCTTGGGTGCTTGGCCTGAATGCTCGAGCAATCCAGCAAGCATCTAAAATCCATTGTCGCTCACAGGGTTAGATGGCTTAGACTCTTAGACGGCACGACGAAAGGACAAGACGTGAGCTTGATGCTTAAGCTCATGCTCAGGCATTGGGAGCCAGGAACTCTCAGTCGGTGTTTCAGTCGGGGATTGGAGGACTTCAGGTTTGGTGGTCTGGAAGCGGCGACTGAGTGGGACTTGTGACTCTGAGCTCCTCACTGTCCACTATCCCACACTGAACATTCTTCATCTACTTCGGGTTACTTGATCATGTAACCTTATGCCCAAAGAGGGCAGGGAATGGATATGCGACCAAGAAATGCTAGTACCACAATGCCATTATACATACTCATCAACTGCAGGGTTGCAAGCTGCTAAGGTTGATGCAAACAAACCTCATAAGGCTGGTGCTGCTGGTAACATCAACATTTCCCTACTATACCCATCAGACGAAAGAGTCGTCCAAGGCAAGTGTTGATGCCAACAACAGACCTATTCGGCAAACGCAGCGTGTCGCACACGCCGATGCAGGTATCCGCGTTGCCGGCTGAAGTTTGCAAGGACATGCAAGATGAGATTCGCTGGGTTGTATACACACTATCTATATATATATATATACCTGGAGAATCCTGACGCCTTTAATTTAAGTTGTTTCGGAAAAAAACGTTTCCATATAGGAGGTGTGGTTTTTTGCTTGTGGATGTTTTTTGAGAAATACAGGGTTTTGGATTCTGAGGAGTGTTTGCAAGACTTGTTTGTTCAATAAGATGCCCTGCTCTCTCTGGAGCTTGCCACTTCTTTGAAGTTCGGGTGTGACAGCATGAGGCACTTACTTCCCCATGAAGACACGGCTAGCTAGAGTCGAAGTCGTTCTAATCAACATGAATTGCAAGCCATTGGCTTTCCGATGGTAGATTAAAGGTGACAGTCTTTTTCGTGCAACCATGCATGCGCTGTCTTGTGATGGCGTGCGCTGTCTTCAGCAGTGGAGGAGTGCGCCTCCCCCCCATGCAATCTTCTTTATGCAAGAGAAAATAATCATGGGAAATGGACCCTTGGCCTCATTATCCTGCCTTTTCCAGGTACAGTGGGGGCGGTCTATGTGCGGACAAGTCTTCTGCAATGAGAAGGCCGGCACTAATAGGGTTCGTGCTTGCAGTCTATAATAAATGCTCAGTTGCTATCTTTTTTGGGCGGACTTTGTGCATTGAGCAGAATTCTCAGAGGTTGATTATCAGTGATCGCTGTGCCGTTATGCTGCAGGGATTTTGATTTTGCAGATCTGTAGATCGATCATTGCCTTTCTGAGAAGGGAATCATGGCAGCCAGAGAGGCGCCGGGGGCCCTTGCTCGCATGATCGAAAACTCCGAAAGCCTGCGCCGACTCATCTTGGAGAAGCCGGAGCAAGTTCTCACGAGATGGCTCAATGAGCGTGCGGTTGGAGTGTCAAGTGTGGCTGCGATGAAGTTGAATCATCGTGCCCTGGAGGTTGTGGCCAAGTGGTGGGTGGAGCGATGCGACCATCCGAAGACAGTACCCATCGATCGAATGCGTGAGGAAGTAAATCATCAGATGGTATAAGATTTTGGTTCCAGCCATGGTTTTTCACTGTCAACTAAGTAACACTCGGGGTTCCGGTTCCAAGCGATTGAAGTCGAGGTGAGCATTCTTCGGAACAACTTGGGGTTGAACGATGATCGGCTGAAAGTTCACCTTGACGGAGCCGGCCTCAAAGTCTTGTTCACGCACGGGATCCGTCGCTTCGCCACGGGATCGACAAACAGAGATGCTTGAATTTCCCCCGGTCATCTTGAACAGTGCAGGGTTTTTCTTGTGGGTCTTGAATAAGCTGGGGTCTGTTTTCTGTGGCTCTATTTTTGAGGATCGTTGCTTGGATGAGTTCTACAACATCCTTAACCTTGCATGGGTGCTTCCAGATGGCGGGCTGGATGATGCAGCCATCTTGGCCATCGAGGATGGAGCAGTGGATGATGTTCGAGATGTTGGCTTGCTGGATGTTGCAGACATTCCATTGCCGGCAGAAGACATCGATGGTGAAGCCTGGCATGAGCAGGGCGAGGAAGAGGCGCAGCTGGTGGATGACCCCCAAGTGGAGCCACCAGTCGCAGACCCCTACGAGCTCAAGGCCGAGTCTTTGTTGAAGCTCCGTCCGCCGAGGCTGGATGAGCGCGAGGATGCGCAGCTTGAGCGGGCAAGCTCGGTGGAGTCCTTGCAAACTCCGCCACGTAAGGACGCCCCTGCTCTGGTCCGCAGGCCCCATGTGGTAACGCCCAAGAAGCTCTTCCAAGAGCTGGAGCCTGCCGGGCACGCCGATTTGGCTTCAGCTCGGGAGCTCATGCGGCAGCAGTTGAGGCAGACCCAAAGTTCTTTGTGAAACATTTCCGGGATTTTGGTAAGGTTGATAAGAGCAGATTCTTTATTCCCCTGACAGGGCAGAGCTGGCCCGAAGGCAAGCCACAGCCCAAAACAGGATCGAGCCACCGGCTGTATGCCATTTGATCGCTTTAGAATATCATTTTGTTAGAATACATATAGATAAAAATCTAGGTTGTATACCTTTAACCAGCTACAGGGCTCTGACATTGTCGAGACCCAGCAGTGGGACGGTGCTCCGAGTCTTACCCGTGCTGCTAGCTCTGCATCCTCTGTTTCTTCTAGCCCGAAGAGTTTGCAGGAGGCGACTGGAGCACTGATTGGTAGCCCTTCCTACGCCCCGTCCGAGGAGTGCCAAACCCCGGAAGGGCCGAGCGCTAAGGATGCCCCGCCACAGCCGAGATTCGAGGATGCCAATAAGTTGTCGGCCCGTTCCGAGGCCAGTGGGCTATTCATTCCATTGGCTTTTAAACCTGTTGGGTTGGGGTAAGTTTCTGAGGGTGTTGGTTTCTAAGTCTGCAGAGGGTGTTGGTTTCTAAGTCTGTCGGGTTGCGGTAAGTTTGTGCGGGTGTTGGGAACAGCACCAGGCAGAGGCAATTTCTCCGGAACCGGCCCTCGTGACTCGGGAGGAGCAGCGGGCAACTGGTGACTTGAAGGATGAGGATTCGACAAAGAAGGCTCAGGCCAAAAAGGCTGGAAAGCCCAAGGCAAAGGCCAAGGGAAAATCCCGTGCCAAGGCCACGGCCAAGAGCAGGGCTTCGAAGTGTGGCGATGACTCTGATGATGAGGCCGATGGTGTCCCGGCTCCTGTGACTGCTCCGGAAGGAGGTCGCGGGCGAGGTGGCCGAGGTGCTGCCAAGCCGGCAGATCATGGTGGGCGTGGTCGCGCCCGTGGCCGCGGCCGTGGACGGGTTGATGTTAGGGAGGGAGCCTTGTTGATCAGCGATGCAGATGATGAGGCTTCTGACAAGGGGCATTCGGAGGAGGAAATTGAGCAGTTGAGTGAGCCCGAGCCTGTGCTCAAGCGTCCGGCTGCCAAGCTGCCCAAGAAGGAGAAGATCTTGCCGGACAAGAAGGCTGCGAAGACGGCAGCCAAGATGGCTGCGAAGCCCCAGAAGGGGGTGAACAAGGAGCACCCGGCGAAGGTGATGAAGCGGACCACGTTTGCCGGCCGTCGTTGCCCCGAAGGTGATGTTCCCAAGGCCCGCTTCTTTTCCATGATGGAGACGTATGCTGCCGTGATCTATCCCAAGCTGAAGTCCCCTTCGCAGTTCGAGGCTTCTTTGATTGGAGGGTATATAGGGAATAATATAAGGTTTAGATTTTTCCCTGGAAATCTTTCGGGTGCTCTGGTTTTTGGCAATTGGGTTAGGGTTGGGCTGGGTTGGGTTCCTTGTGCAGGGTGACTTCTGGACGATGGTGTTTTCCAAGCTCGTTGCCGTCGAGAACCCCTCGCGCAGCAAGTACGATCGAGTCTGCAGAGATGCTGCTGTGGAGTTCTTGAAGAGTGACTAGGGCCAATAGTTATGACTATCCTCGTTTGTATATGTCGTGAAAGCACTGTAGTGGCATCCTGGAAACTTAGATGTATTCGGAGAAGTTGAAACACTGCACATAAAACCCACGTATCCGTAGCTCCTGAGCCTTAAACCTC